GGGGCCTCAGCTCGGTTACAAACTTTTTTGTTAAACAAGAAAAGAAAAATCAGGAGAAAAGGTCTTCCAAGTCGGCATCCAAATCAACCCGAGCTTCACCCAGAGGTAGCTCAGTTGTGGCGAGCACACCTTGGTTGAGCTCGGTCGAAGGCACCACGATGGTCGCAACAGGTGAAGGTGGGATGGAGACCACTGAAGTGGGAAAGGTAGACTGGCGACTGGGCTGGAGGTTGTCTTCAGGAGCAGGATCCTCGTTGTCCTCCCCTTCTTAAAGAAATTTTTGCTGAATGGCAGTAGCATACTCCACCATGTAGCTCGGTATGAAATGTGGAGGAGGGTTTTTGAAGACCTCGGTCTCTTGGCCTTGACAGAGCTTGGCCACAACCGCCTTCCATCCACATTTGAAGAATATATCTTTGGCGGCTTCGCACTGTTGGATGTAAGTGGCCTCCCCCTCCTTATAACCCCGGTCTTCGGCGTCTTCCACCCTCTTCTCCAACCGGGCGATCTCAGCATTCTTCTTTCTCTCGAGCTTGGCCAACTCGCGCAAATATTTGTCTTTCAACTCAGCCGCAGCCTTTTGCTTATCTGCTTCAGCCGAGCTGACAAGACCAGTCAGGCTGGCTATCTCGGTATGTAGCTCGACCATTTTCTTTTTGGACTCTTCTAGCTCGGCTGATTTAGCATTGGCCTCTACCACGGCCTGCCTTGTGGTTTTTTGAAGCTCCAACACGCACTTGTGAGCGACGTGGTTCTTCTGTAGGGCCTGCAAAAAGAGAAACAATTTTGAGCTGAATCGAGCAAACAGATGTAGAAATTAGGGCAAGAAAATGAGAACTTACCAGCACCATTGATTTCGTTGCCAAGCGAATGGCCTTCAGCTCGGTGAGATGGTCGTGGTGCTCCATATTGGCTGGAAGACATATGCTCTTAGCAAGGTTAAAAGCCAGCGAATGGTCTTTTTCGGCAACCACTAAGTCAGAGTCAGTGATAGCTCGGTTCTTGTAGGTGACCTTGGGCACCCATTCTGATGGGCTAGCCCGGTCTGAACGCTTGGAGGGTTTTTGAAGACCTCGGTCTCTTGGCCATGACCGAGCTTGGCCACAACCGCCTTCCATCCACATTTGAAGAATATATCTTTGGCGGCTTCGCACTGTTGGATGTAAGTGGCCTCCCCCTCCTTGTAACCCCGGTCTTCAGCGTCTTCCATGCTCTTCTCCAACCGGGCAATCTCAACATTCTTCTTTCTCTCGAGCTTGGCCAACTCGCGCAAATATTTGTCTTTCAACTTAGCCGCAGCCTTTTGCTTATCTGCTTCAGCCGAGCTGACAAGACCAGTCAGGCTGGCTATCTCGGTATGTAGCTCGACCATTTTCTTTTTGGACTCTTCTAGCTCGGCTGATTTAGCATTGGCCTCTACCACGGCCTGCCTTGTGGTTTTTTGAAGCTCCAACACGCACTTGTGAGCGACGTGGTTCTTCTGTAGGGCCTGCAAAAAGAGGAACAATTTTGAGCTGAACCGAGCAAACAGATCTGCCACGGCCTGCCTTGTGGTTTTTCGAAGCTCCAACACGCACTTGTGAGCGACGTGGTTCTTCTGTAGGGCCTGCAAAAAGAGAAACAATTTTGAGCTGAATCGAGCAAACAGATGTAGAAATTAGGGCAAGAAAATGAGAACTTACCAGCACCATTGATTTCGTTGCCAAGCGAATGGCCTTCAGCTCGGTGAGATGGTCGTGGTGCTCCATATTGGCTGGAAGACATATGCTCTTAGCAAGGTTAAAAGCCAGCGAATGGTCTTTTTCGGCAACCACTAAGTCAGAGTCAGTGATAGCTCGGTTCTTGTAGGTGACCTTGGGCACCCATTCTGATGGGCTAGCCCGGTCTGAACGCTTAGGTTGTGGGCTCGGTGGTGTGGTTTGGGGAAGCACAGTTTCATCCTCGTCAATAAGGCGTGGCTCGGTTGTGGAAGTTCGAGCACGCTTGCTGGGCCGAAATGATGAAGGCTGGGCAGTTGGAAGGGCTACCACGGCCTCTTGTGATTGGCCGGCTGGTGGTACTTCGGCTTGATTTGTTTCGGTGATAAGGGCCCTAACTGCTATCTTTTTGGCCATTTCTTGCTCCTCTGTTAGTGGGATCAAATTGATTTGAGGCAAGGTTGGATCTGGTTCGAGTGAGGGTTCAAGGAGGAAATCTGTCACCCTGGTCTTCCTCCTACTACTGTATCTGTACGTCCATTCGAAATTAAGTAGCTCGGCCCAACCTCGATTGTGGTAGAAGAGTGCAACGCGGAGTGCGTCGAGATTGGGGTAACTGTACTGTGACTTAAGATGGTTCAAGTCTGCATAAGGAAAAAAGCAACGGTTTGCACGGTGCGAAATTAATAAACAGTAAAGAATGCACAAAGCTAAAACCGAGGTATTCATACCAGCTACTCCCTTATTCCAGTTAATGCAATCGCCCGGGATCTGGGCCACATGGTCTTCAAAGTTGCCCGAGACTCAGAAAAAATCATCATCATTTACATCTTTGTCTGGTGTATTTTTTATTATTTTCTCTCGACGGCGTCTTATTCTTAAATAATAAACCCAGCCATCTTCATTCTGGCCTAGAGAGAACTGGTGAAATAGCTCGGCTAAACTGAGGTTGAGGCCAAGCCAGCGATTTAGCTCGGCGATGCCATTTGTTATTCTGTACGAATATGTGGAAATCTGGGTAAGGCAAAGTCTTGTTTGTCTAAGAAATTCACAAAGAAGAGGCTGAATGGGAAAACGGAGACCAGCCTCTACAATGCAAATGACATTGAAAGGGACGAAGCTCAGTTTTCCCCAGGAAATGGTATCTAGTTCGGCTAGTGAGAGGTGGACGTCGTCTGGAATTTGGTAATCCTTTCGGAACTCGGCTATGGCCCCTGGAGAGTTCACTAAAAATCGGTACTTCCCCATGTGGCCTTATATTGTGTATAATTTAGCTCGATATTGAGATGACCTTTAGTATCTCGGTTGAGCGTGCAAAGGTGTGTCTGGCCAACTTAGTCAGTCTGCAAAGTGAAAAGGAAAAATGTTAAGCACAGGTCGTTGGGCCGTGCTAAAAGAAACAAAGGCATAATAAATGGAGTCCTAGCTCGGCTACGTGGGATACTATCCGTTCTTAGCTCGGTTGAAGCGATGGACTTCAGCTCGTTCAAGTGGAATGAGAGGTTCGTCGCCCGGCTGAAGCATAGGGTGCAACATTCTTGGTTCGGTTTTGACTAAGTCAGAGAGCTGGTTTGATCCCAAGGAATAGCCCAGTCATTGGGTAAGGCTTTCTAGTTTGGTAGTTCGCACACCTAATACAGCTCCCTAGCTCGGTTAGGTGAAAAAGAAGGTTCTTAAACCTATTGAAACTTAATCTAGTTCGGCCGAATGCACACCATAAGTACAAACAGGTTCCTAGTTTGGTTAAAATATTATTTTGGATCAAAAGCGTTATTTCTCAGATTGGTTATAAATCTAGTGGATCTATTACATGGTTCTTGGAATAAAGTGGTCATTTTCCATGGAAACACCAAAGTGTTTTGAGAAACATACATACTATGCTATGTATTACAAAACAGTGCGAAATAAACGGAAAGGAAACAGGTTTAAGCCACATACCAGTTCAAAATGAAGAAACTGAAGATGGAGACAATATTAGCAAAAACACGAGCTTGGTAGGTGCTAGGGTTGCAAGAATGGAGATTCAGAGGGAAGGAAAGAGAGAGAGAAGATGAATAGTAGAAATGGTTGGTTCAAAACACGTGATTTTTGTGTAAAGAGAGTGAAAAAGGCGGGACTGTTCAAAATTCGCGAGATACAAAGTCGGCGTCGATAGTTGTACTTAACCAATAGGGGCCTGCCACGTGTTTATAGGAATAACAAGCGATTCAGAAGCACATCATGACTGGAGAGATGTTTTTTGACCGAGCAAATCGGTAGCCCGGTGACAATCTAGCTCAGTTGAAAGGCTAAAGTTTTAGCTCGGCTGGTAACAGGTAATCCCAATCATACTATGCAGATGGAATTAAGGGGCAATTGAGAGGGAGTTTTATGTGCATTAGGGCCGAGCTAGGCCAAAGCGTGGTAATGGGCCGTTCTGTGGGCCGCAGTAAAAAGGGCTAAGTAAAAAAGCCTTGTAGTTAGCTCGGTCCAAAAGGGCCTTGTAGTTAGCTCTCGCACCCTGGTCGGATTGGTAATTAGCTCAGCCACAGTGTTTGGAACCAATGTATTATGGCTTCTTATGGTGGACCTTGCCCTGGTTAGTGCGGTCAGAGCTTGCTGTAGTTAGCTCAGTCTCAATGGACAAAACCGAGGTACAAGTGAACAAGAGTCGAGCTATGAGTTGCATGTGAAGGTACTGGATTGAGTATGACAAAGAGATATTGTTAGCTCAGTTATATTTTCATTTCACCGAGGTAAAACCATCTCACTTGGTTTAAGCAGTGAGGGGGGTGTTGAAGGATAAGCATTATCTTTCAGGAGTATGATTCCTAGGAGGACTCTACATGGAGGAATAAGAGTCCTACTAGGATTGTGCCAGGCAAAAACCATAAAAGCTCATAACAGAACCTATGTAGAGGTAACACAACTTTGATTCTCGAATACGCAGAGCTTTTGTCTATTTTGCTGACTTAGGCATCAGAGAGGTATCCGGCACACACCCGCCGGCTAGCTCACGTTTGTGTTTTCAGGGAGTGAAGCGACAACGTTTGGAGGAGCGTAGACTTGATCAACAGGATTATACAAGAAAATAATTTCGTGCTCGTACAAATCTCATTCACAAGCTATACTTTCTTACTAGTAATTGTTTAGAATTTTTTTTAAAGTTCCTTGACATTGCTATTACTGGGAGAATAAAAAATAAAAAAATAAAAGATTTGGGAGAAACCAAGAAATACAGCACAAAATGATCATAGTATTTATTAAAAAAAGAAGTTGGTGAAAAAAATCTCCAAGTTGGGGTAAGAACAGAGTAGTACTTAACTGGTTTCATAATTGTAGTCTTCACAGCCCATGGGGCTACAGTGTTGGTGCGAATGTTGTCCTTTGCCCATTCACAAGCCAAGTTCCTTGTTAGCTGATTGATTGCACCTAAAAAACCCAACAATGGAAAGCTTTTATGATCAATAATTACCTTCAAATTTTTTGCCTAATCATCACCAAAAATGTTAAACATAAAAGACATGGAGTCCACATGTATATGAGATTCTTTATTTTCAAATTTCTCTCTCATTTTAAAAAACACTCATGATCATTGAATTATTGAAATCTCAAGGTGTGATACTCACAAAATATACAAAATATGATTTAATGATTTTGGGGAAAAAAAATGAATAAGACCTCTAAATTATCACTCCTAAATTGACACTTAATGATGTGGATTTTTGCACATTAGTTGTTGATTTGTTTAAAATTCAGCCAAATAAGACCTAACTTTGCCATATAAATGTGGATAAATTTAAAATTAACGTTTTAAGGGACTCTAGTGTTGCTCAATTATCACATGTACCTTTAGCTGCGGCATAGACTGAAACTGCAGGCAAAGCAGTAACATCGGCGATGGAGGAGATGTAGACGATACTTCCTAAGAGGGTAATTTATAAATAAATATTAGCCAAGCCACAATCCTTTAGTCTCTGTTATAGGCCGGACTAAAGGCCGAGGTACGAGCTTCGAGTAGCTCGGTCCCATGTTGTATGAAAGCTGGGCAGAGGTACTTTGGACCGAGCTACCTAAATAAGTGGGCATAGTGGTTAGCCGAGGTATTAGTGAGAAAGAAGGCCGGGCTTGGTATAGCCCGGCCAAATGCTATCTACGTCATTACTTGAGTGTTTGACCGAGGTAATATAGCTCGGTTAGGTCGCAGCAGCCTAAACAAATGAGGTAACCATCTTACTTAGTTGGTGGAAAGCAAAGTGTTATTATAATAGACTCTTCATTGAGCTTGAGACTCCTAGTAGGACTCTGCTAAGGAGAGTAGAATCCTACTAGGATTGTGCAAACCATCTCACTTGGTTGGTAGTGAGTACGGTGAATGATTCCAAGGAAGACTCTTCTAAGGAAGAGTTGGAATCCTACTAGGATTGCGCCAGGTAGAATCTATAAAAGCTCATGACCAGACCTATGTACAGGTATCCCAATTCTTACTCTAGAATACACAGAGCTTATTGTCTATTGTCTAGTTGTTGAAATAGGCATCGGAGGGGTTTCAGGCACACACCCGCCCGCTAACTCACGTTTGTGTTTTCAAGAGGCAAAGCGGCAACGTTTGGAGGAGCGCAAACTTGATCAACAAGATTATACGAGAAGATTATTTCGTGTTCGTACAATTGGTGCCGTTTGTGGGAAGCAATCACAAAGAACAAACCTTTTGATCGAGTTTTCCTCTCTAGTTGAAATTAATGGCACATAATGAAGACTTGCCGCAATCTACTATTGATAGGCAAACCCCGAAAGAGGGTGGGAGGCATGAAGGTTTACCCTCTGTCCCATCTATGGCAGAATTAGAACCCCAGCTACGGAACTCCCGGAGGGACACAAGGGAGAGACGGGGCACTAGTCCCTGTCGTTCTCAAAGTCCTGATAGACAAAGGCAGAGGTTGGATCCTCAAGTTCTAGAGGATCGCGTAAGGGAGCAAGACAAGATGATACGAAGGATGGAGGCGGACATGGAGACGATGAAGCGCTAGACAAAAGGCAAAGGGGTGGCGACAAAAGAGGGGAACAAAGGCAACACACCCTCTTACCATTCAGAAGATAGTGGCAGACAAGCCACACCATCCCAAGCTGAAAGTAAAAGCCTAAGGACAGACGACACTCAATCAAGGACTTCCAGGACTCATTTCTCCAGGTTTGAGAGAACGAGGATTGAAAGGTCATATACGGAGGGAAGCAACTATCGACCCTCGCACACGCACCAAACGCCATCTAGACACATAAAGTTGCCAAGGTTAGCAGACCTGGGAACAGTGCTAGAGGAGAGGGCCCGATGGAAGGAAGACTGCAGGGCTCATGACCCTCGCAGGGTTTCAGCCCTACAACGATTGGCCCCTAGGACACATGGAAGTGTCGAGGTAGGAATGCCAATGCCACACCTTGCTTACGAACCAGCAGACAAAATGTTAGCAAGGCTATAGAGCTCACCGTTCGTTCCGACAATTGAGAACGCACCATTGCCCTTAGGCTTCCATCAGCCTAAATTCACAACTTATGAGGGGAAGTCGGACCCCTACATGCACTTGAGCCACTTTCACTAGGTCATGGCAGTGTATCAGCGAAACGATGCTCTAATGTGTATCCTATTCCCTTCCAGCCTTGGTAACTTAGGTCTAACAGGTTTGAAAGGTTGCCAGAAGGTAGCATCGCTTCATGGGTGCAACTAGCAGAAGCATTTGTTACTAGATTCAGAACAAACACCAAGACTGTTTTACTGTATTACTGTTCTGCAGGCCTTCGGTAATCTCGGATTACTGGCCGGTTACGGTGCTAAACCCATAGGGCCGGGTTTGGGTCGTGACAAAAAGCCTAAGGACAGACGACACTCAATCAAGGACTTCCAGGACTCATTTCTCCAGGTTTGAGAGAACGAGGACTGAAAGGTCGTATACGGAGGGAAGCAACTATCGACCCTCGCACACGCACCAAACGCCATCTAGACACATAAAGTTGCCAAGGTTAGCAGACCTGCAAACAGTGCTAGGGGAGAGGGCCGGATGGAAGGAAGACTGCAGGGCTCATGACCCTCGCAGGGTTTCAGCCCTACAACGATTGGCCCCTAGGACACATGGAAGTGTCGAGGTAGGAATGCCAATGCCACACCTTGCTTACGAACCAGCAGACAAAATGTTAGCAAGGCTATAGAGCTCACCGTTCGTTCCGACAATTGAGAACGCACCATTGCCCTTAGGCTTCCATCAGCCTAAATTCACAACTTATGAGGGGAAGTCGGACCCCTACATGCACTTGAGCCACTTTCACCAGGTCATGGCGGTGTATCAGCGAAACAATGCTCTAATGTGTATCCTATTCCCTTCCAGTCTTGGTAACTTAGGTCTAACAGGTTTGAAAGGTTGCCAGAAGGTAGCATAGCTTCATGGGTGCAACTAGCAGAAGCATTTGTAACTAGATTCAGAACAAACACCAAGACATCGGTGGAGATTGACCAGCTACTCTCCATAGATATGGGCGAGAAGGAAACATTAAAGTCTTACAACAATCGATATTGGGAGACTTTTAATCAGATTGGAGATTGCCCCACAAACCTAGCTATTGTACAGTTCAAGCAAGGTCTGCCAGTGGGTTATACGTTGCGAGATTCAATGACAATGACGCGGCCTCTTACTATGGAAGCCCTAATAGAGAGAGTGCACCAACACATCTTGGTAGAGGAAGATGGGATTCGCACCTAGGCAGAGTCCGACATAATAGCGAGGACGGACGAAACACCCTCGGCAAAAGTTAACACAGTCGACAAGAAAGACCAACCACGTAAAAAATCTTTGCCCAACTGGGGGCAAAGTGGGTTGCAGGATTGACCAATTCTTTCTAACAAGTCTTTGCCCGACTGGGGGGTGTAACAAGTCCACGAGGGACCCCTGCTACAGTTCGGACTCGATTTGTGTCACGGTTCTTAATCTTGAACCAAAGAGTCCAAATCTGGCAAATCGTTTTGAGAAAAACAGATTTTAGGTTTGTAGTCACGGTTCTAAGTCTGAACCAAAGAGTCCAAATCTGGCAAATCGTTTTGAGAAACAGTTTTTTGAAAAAGTAGTGCCAAACATGGACTGCTTTGCCAGATACAGAGTCGCCACCTAAATATTTTAAAATGGGGGAATTTAGGAAACCCTGACTCGGTGCCGAAGGCCACATGTCCGTCATCATCGGAGTTGTCTCGGCTCGGGAGCTTGGGTACGATCGGGGAAGGTCAGCTATGAGCCCCCCCTCTCGCCCGGTCCGAAGACCGGCCTCTACTAACCGTGATATCCAGTTTTGAAAACGTTGTGTGTTCTTATTCCATTTGTTAGCCTAGAATTACTATGTTATGCGCACAGCAAACAAGTATAGACTAGATTGCCTAATTTGGAAACAAGCATTGCATATCCGTTTGTTTTGAAGAGCGCTTTGGAATTTGCTACTCGCAAGTAGGCTAAAACACGGATTTCAACGAGTTTTTCTAACTCAAACAATCCAACCTTCACCCACGGGCATTCAAATAATAATATCACATAAGCATTTAGCCACATGGCAAACATACTGTCATGGTAACATTCACACGCATGCGAGATGCTAAAGCATAAATACTTACATCGTACGCCGTGCCAAAAACAGGAACACGTTAGCAATCAATGCATGATCCAAGTCCATGTTAAATGCCTAATGCATCGCATACAAAATGTCACTAGAGTAAGCTCGGCTAGTCTATGAATGACATGTGAAAATGCACAACTAACATGTATTCAATTCGGAATTTGAAATACAGATGTAGTTAGAATGATGCGCCGAGCCCGGTGCATGCAAAGCAAATGTATGAATGCACGCATGCATTACATGAGGTATGCTAATTTAAACGTGCCCTAATACTAACCATCAAAGCAGGTAAATAAAAGGGAAGAAAGAAGTGGGGATTGGAAGACATACACACCACTCACACACACTTATTACAGATTTGCCCTCGCCCGGAGGGACCAAATAAATAATACAAATTAATTAACTACGCAAGCTAAATAAATATTACAAATTGCGTAATTAGCTAACAAACTAACTAAGCTAGGAAAAGCAGTAAACCGCCTCGGGAGGAGAGCCAGATGCAGCGCATGCTCGGGTCCCGCTCGGAAGTGCACGGCCATGCATAGTCTGCCTCTGTTTTCCCTGCTCTGCCCCTCTGAAGACTACCAAAGTCTCAAGGATGCTTCTCTGGATACTGGGAATCACCACCGGCTGAATAGAATTATCACCGGCAGTGGTATGTGGTCACCGGCACAAAATGAATCCATCGGCTGGTGATTTACTGCAGGTCGGCAATTTGTAATGCCGGTCGGCAAAGAATGCCTGCAGAACCTGCAACTCACAGCAGCAGAGGACAGAACTTGCAT